CTGAGCGCTGCTGCGATAGGAGCTGGGGTGGATATCAAGCTGGGACCGGAGGGGAGGATGCGAGCTCGACCTCGAGGTAGGCCAAGACAGGCTGTCGGCCCGTACGGCTGACGCGACTCGGCGCACAGGAGTACGAGCACTACGACAACCCGTACAACGGCGGGCTTCATCAGGTTGTGCCGGGCAAGCTGGTCGCGCTCAAGGTGCCCTGGGCTTGCTCCAGCTCTGCTGGACCCGACACGCCGCTGAGCCGACCGCACGCGCAGGCGCCGTCGGACTCCATGGGGGAGCGAGACTGGTGGGACGAGGGCTTCGTGCGCGTGGTAGGCGGGAGGAAGCGAGAGCGCGGGGCGGGAGCAGGTGACGAGGCGCAGTTCCACCCGCGGTACGTCGGGGAGCTGCTCGGAGACATGCGAGTCAGACGCATCATCCGGCTGAGCAAAGAGCCGGCCTACCGCAAGGAGGCGCTGGAGGTAGGAGGCGACGGAGAGCCGGAGGGGCTCGGCAGAGGCTGACGGGGAAGGGGCGGACAGGCTTGCGGGATCGAGGTGCTCGACCTCGCCGACGAGGACTGGGAGGCGCCGTCGCCGGTGGCGGTGAGGCGGCTGGCAGAGGCCGTGGACGGGACAGACGGGGCGGGGGCGGTGCACTGCGAGCACGGGCTGGGGAAGACGGGGACCGCGGCAGGTAGGCGGGCGAGGGGGGCGGGAGGAGAGAGGAGCTGACGAGCGAGGGGGGGTCACGGCAGCTGCGTACATGATGCGAACCTACGGCATGAGGGCGAGGGAGGCGATCGGATGGATGCGGCTGATACGTCCGGGGTCGGTGATAGGGCGGCAGCAGGAGGTGAGTGCACGGAGGGGCTGGGAGGAGGATCTGCCGGTGACAGCGGACGTTTTCTGAAGAAGCAAGGCAGGGAGGCAGGGAGGCAGGGAGGCAGGGAGGACAGGGTGAAGGATAATGGCCATGGTTTGCAGGGACTGGAGGAGCTCGAGGCTGCGCTGAGGGCCCAGACAGAGAGCTGGGAAGGGCGTGGCGGATGATGAGGACATGGAGCCATGTATGAGGACGTAGCTGGTGGGTTAGAGGATGTGATGATCAGAGAGTACATTGTAGGAGTTTTGTGATGCCTGGGGTGTGCTGGCGGGGTCATGTTTTTGTTACTGCCTAGTGGGTCTGCAGTCTTGCAGTCGCGTATCCAACAGCTCGAGCTATGCTGGGCACGCGGACACCTTCAAGCTTGTCGCAAGGCCTCCTCCGTCCCGCCATGCCTCCCCCCCTCCAGACCGTCCGCATCGTCTACCCTCGAGCCTCCTCCTCTCCTCCGCCCGGCCAGGATCGTCGCCCTCTCTTCCAGCGCATCACCCGTGAGCGGATCTGCGCTCTCATGCACCTCAGCCAGCCCGAGGCGGCGCGGCAGCTGGGGAGTCTCCAAGGCTGGCGGGAGGCAGGGGAGATGGACATGCGACTGCGAGGGAGGAAGGAGCTGTAAGATAGCTTGCAAGGCGCTCGGCGCTGGCCGTACGCGAGGAGACGCAAGGCAGAGCCGATCGTGATCGAGGAGGCGTGGCTGGCATGGTACCTGTCGGAAGATGTGGATGACGAGCAGCTCAGAGCTGCTGGAGCGTGACCTCTTCTGACGTGGCATGACGCAGACGGCTTCTGCAAGGTCTCTGTGTGATCACCCGCTTCTTCCTTGGCACACCTCGCCCGATCGATCACGTGCTGTCACATCATTTATTGGAGCCCTTTGACATCAAAGACCTTCAATCTATCTGCTATCATACAGGTCTCGCCTTGACCTTGCAACGACTATCAACCTCGCATGTGCTCAAACGAGACATCGTCCTCGCGGTCGACCTTGGCTTGTTCATGTAGTCTGAGACGACTTTGACTTGACTTGCTCGTGACGTCTGGAACAACCTTGACTTGCTCGTGACGTCCGAGACGACTTTACCAACATGACTTCTCCGAGACGTGCGACAAGCCTGAGTCACTCGAGCGTCTTGAAGGTGGTTGTACATATCTGTGCAAGCAGAGACTACGAAAGCTCGACGCATCCGCTCGACCTCTTCCCCAGCAGCTCCCTCGCTGCCTCCGTGATGTCCCGCGCTGATCCCTCCCGTCCCATCGGTCTTGATCGCCGCGAGCTCACGCCCTCCTCCCACCGCTTCCTCGCTTCCAGGATGTTCTGCAGACACGCTCCCTCCTGCACAGCGGGCGGACGATGAGGGGGCGGGGGAGGATGAGCCTGCAGGTACTGGAGCTGAGCAGGGGAGAGGCGGAGCAGCTTCTTGGGCTTGAGAGGGAGGGAGAGGGAGGGAGAGGAACAGGCGACGGATTGAGCAGCCATGCGTGCGGGGAACCAAGGAAGGACTGTGTGAATCGACCTTAAAAGGTAGCGGTAGGGAGATGGAGCACGAGACCTGGATCCTTTTCAACGAGTCTCACCTCGCGACGTTTCGGAGGCTCCGGGGTTGAGGACCCCCCTCAGATATCTCACATATCTTACAATCCGTCTATTGGATCTGAAGCGAATAATTGCCAAGACCTATATCTTCATCTAGCGTCGCATCGTACGTGCCTGAGCTTTATGCCCCTATCCCTGTAATCGCGTTCATATGTATGTCTGACCCACGAAGGATGGAGTATCTTGGTTTGGAGCATCATCTCGTAAATATCCTTCAGAAATTTCAAATCTTGCACGACATGTTCAAAAGACAGGGTGACATCACGCAGCCTTTTCGTTATATATGGCAAGTTTTGAAAAAGTTGCTTGTGAGTTGTGGCATGCGTATCTCGACTACCAACACAAAAGCATCTTGTGAGCCAGTCAAATATCTATCCATCCAAGCAGCACGAGACCTCCAGTCTATCGGGTCTGACGACGAATAGAATAGTGGTGATCCAATGGAACGAGACCTGGATCCTTCTGAGAAAGTCTCATCTCGCAACGTATCGTCTCATCTCGCAACGTATCGTAAACACTACGGCTTTATACCCCCTCCCCCCCGAACATCTATCCCCACGCAAGCTCTTCGGAGAGCTCGCGACAAGCTTTAAGGTCAGTCCAAACGAAGCAGTCTCATGGGTCATAAAACCGAGGAAGCACGATACCTGCATCCCTTTCATCCTCATGGGTCATGGCTCTTCCCCGTCTGACTCTTTTTACCCCTCTCGCCCTCAACGTTCCCCCGCAGTCAAAAGCATCGCCATAACCAACTCTCCTTCCCTCTCCTCCCCTCACGCAAGCTCTTCGCTGCCCTCTGCCTCCTCTACCTCTCAGCCCTCTGCCGCCTCCAGCTCCTCGGTCTTCGCTCCTCGCTCAAGCTCCCGTATGCGTATCTCGACTACCCACCCTCACGACGAGGCGTCCCAAGACTTCCCATGGCTCGCCGGCACCATGTGCGTCAGTTCTGTCGCCATGCTCGTGTGTCTAGCTGACTCTCCGGCCCTGGTCTCTCTCACTGCAGTATCGACCTCGCCGACAGGATCTCCCTCGCCGCCGGCTGCTCGGACGAGACCAGCCTCGACCCCCGGTAGGGCAGCCGGCTGCTGCTCGCTTGCTCTTGCTATGAGAGCAGACAAGCCCCGTGACGTCGGAGGAGCTGACGCGCGTGCAGGAGGCAGGAGGAGATGGAGATGAGTCGCTTCCTCGAGTACTTCCCCTACGGGCGAGACTTCGAGCCGGTCAGCATCAGGTCAGGCGGCAGGAGGGTCAGCCGCGTCCCGTCATGGGCTGACATGCTGCGGGGACAGCGCGGTGATGCGGTTCTCGGAGGCCCTCACGGCAAGGCTGCGAAGCCGCGAGGACAAGGTGAGGGCGAGGAGGAGGCGCAGGGAGGTGGGGGAGCGAGATCGCGAGAGCTCAGCTGCTGGAGCAGACGGTCGTCCTCACGTGTCCGCACGAGGAAGAAGCTTGCGCCAACGCTGTCATGCTCGTCGGGGCTCACTTGGTACGGCACCCTGGCGCGAGCTCGGGGGCGGGAGGGAGGAGATCTGACCGGGAGGGTCGGGGGTCGTGTGGCAGATCCTCGAGGGCAGGTGCCAGGACGCGATGCCGGACATGAGCGCTGAAGCAAGGCGGGCCCTCCGGAGCCTCCCCCCGTACCGCGACAGTGAGCGAGCTGACCCGTCAAGGAGGGTGCGGGAGCTGACATGAGGCGGCTCAGTCGCTGCGGGGTCGAGCAGGTTTGAGCTGCTGATCGAGGACGTGTGGGCAGGGCTATGGAGGGCCAAGGTACGCAGACGCTGCTGACGTCAGTGGGGGGGAGGGGTCCAGCTGCTGGCCTGAGCGCTGCTGCGATAGGAGCTGGGGTGGATATCAAGCTGGGACCGGAGGGGAGGATGCGAGCTCGACCTCGAGGTAGGCCAAGACAGGCTGTCGGCCCGTACGGCTGACGCGACTCGGCGCACAGGAGTACGAGCACTACGACAACCCGTACAACGGCGGGCTTCATCAGGTTGTGCCGGGCAAGCTGGTCGCGCTCAAGGTGCCCTGGGCTTGCTCCAGCTCTGCTGGACCCGACACGCCGCTGAGCCGACCGCACGCGCAGGCGCCGTCGGACTCCATGGGGGAGCGAGACTGGTGGGACGAGGGCTTCGTGCGCGTGGTAGGCGGGAGGAAGCGAGAGCGCGGGGCGGGAGCAGGTGACGAGGCGCAGTTCCACCCGCGGTACGTCGGGGAGCTGCTCGGAGACATGCGAGTCAGACGCATCATCCGGCTGAGCAAAGAGCCGGCCTACCGCAAGGAGGCGCTGGAGGTAGGAGGCGACGG